CAGAACCGAGTTGAAGTTTTTCATCCTGTCCAGCGATGCTTCACCAAAAAGATGATAAAAACAAAATACACGGAATCAATTCGATCCATTTTGACTCTCAGTAGCTCCACCAGGCCGCTGCTTTCCTAACGGACCGCTGGGCTGGAAACGGGGCTTCGGCAGCGACGAACCCCGGCCAAAGGTGTTTGCTCAAAGAATGCGATTCTTCTGGGAGGGAATCGAAATTTTGTTTGACTTCAGTTAAGGTGATTTTTGGGGGGCATAAATGGTACACATTTCAGTGTTAACCCGCAATAGTACAGCCAATTCCAGTCTAGGAGCGGTAGTTTGTTTCACAGCAGCAAATATGAGCAGTTTTTATTATAGCTGAAGGGGAAAAAACGTCAATGAGGATTAAAGGCGGCATGGAAACCTTGTTTGCGCTCTTGCAAACCTCGGTCCTCCTTGGTAAAGAGAAGAGGGGGGGTGATGTGTAACACGCTGTGATGCGACAACACGGATACATTATCTTCTGCCCTTGCAGTTCCACATGGGGCCAGGAGCCGCTTAATCTCGCAATCTGGTCTTTATTCGATTGGAGGATACTTTTGCAAAGCATGAACAGCAGTACTTTCAGTACAACACAGTCAATTTAGCGTACAGCAGAGCCACCGCAACTTTTCATGGGAATCGAACCTGCCTGCGACCCCCTGGCCGAAAGTGGCGCACTATGCTGAGAAAACAACCGCCTGAACATGATCCTATCCGCCTGGCCTATGTTTTGTGCTTCTGCGTGGAGGTGCGGGAGGCCGTATGTCGTGCGCTGTGGCCACTTAGCTCCGTACGAAGTTTCTAAGGACCCTTTTTTTCTCTCTAAACGGTACACAGAAAAACTGGTAAGGTTTAACATGGCAATGTATGCCCTGAAGGAGCCATTGAGGAGACACTCCCTGCGTTTCTGCTTGGCTCCTAATCCAAAATTTGCCTCCTCTCGCACATTGTTTAATGTCTGGGCTGTAAACTTGAGCGGCATTTGAAACGGCTCAGC